AGGAGGAGGAGGAGGAGCGGCGCTTCAACTGCGGCAGCCCGTTCAGCTGCCCTCGCGGGCGCCGTCCCACTTGTCGGGCGGCGCAGGCGGCGGGCATCCTCCCCCTAGGCGCTCAGGCCACCTCGGGCCATGACAAGTTCATGGCGGAAGGCTTTCCGGTACTCCTGGCCTCCCGGGGACCTCTCTGGGCCGCGGGGCCGTCACAAAGCATGCAGGGTGAGAGGTCCCAGGGAAGGGTCGAGACCTTTGGGGGTCGACGTTGTGAGCAAGTTCTCATGTCGGGGTTGGGGTTCTGGGCTTGTGGCACGGGCAACCGAACGCATTAACCTTCGCTCGGGCCCGCCGGCTCACGCCGGGGCCGCTGCACCTGCCTGCGACGACGCCGCGCGGGAGGCGCACGACGAGATCGCGCGCCTTGACTCCTGCAGGCCGAACGGCGGGCGCAGTGCCGCTTGCCTCTGCGACTGGGCAGCTGGGGCCTCCAGAGCCAGGCCTCAGTGGTCTGGGCGGCCTCCTGAGCTGTTTCTGGGCGCGGACGGGTCCAGTGCTGGAGGCCTTCACCCTGCCCCTCGCAGCCGCTTTTAGGGCGGTGCTGGCCGAGATGCTGCTGCACGAGGAGTTGGGGCGCCAGCAGCTGTCGCCCTGGAGATTGCCATCGCGAGAACCTCCTCAGAGTCTTCAACGGGCGCCCGATCACATGCTCGACACCAAACGCATGCACGTTGTGTGGAGAGTCCTGGCGGCTGATTGGCGACCACCATTGCATTGCGCTCCTGCGGACGGCCCCGCGCGGCGGGGTGTAGCAGCTGGCCCGTGAGGGACCGCGCCAAGAGCCGAGCTCGGCGGCTGCAACTGCGTGGCCACTTGTGGCCAAGACGTCGCTCTGGCTGGAAGCCGCTGCTGCAACCGGCTGCGGGCTGGCCTGTGGGCGGGGCAGATCCGCCGGAGGACGATTTGCCTCCGGGCACGCCGCGCCTGCAGGCGCGAAGCAGGGTCGCTCAGACTGCGGCTTCCGCGCGGCGTGGCAGGTGCCCGCCACCACAGGGGACAGGTGGCGCTGGCGCGGCTTCGCTCCTGCCTGCAGCTCTCGGCGCAGCTGACGCTGCCCTCGCCGCCTGGGCTGCGCGGCACTCCCGGCGGAGAGGGCGGAGGCTTGCTTGCCTGGAGGTGCAGCGAGAGAAATGCCACCCGCTGTGCGCAGCGGAGGCGGCCGCCAGCTCGCTGCCGCAGCGGCGGGGCGCCGAGCCGAGCGTGGCGCTCCGCCGCGCCACCGCTCGGTGGCCGCGCGACCCTGCGGGCGGCGAGTGCGCTGCGGAGGCCTGGGTCCAGCTGTTGGTGGAGCTCGCCGGCTCAGCGGCGATGTGGTGCGTCCGGTGCTCTTCTCGACTACACGTAAGAGTGACCCTTCGCTGGAGTGACCTTTGGTGCGGGCACACTAGGTTCCCCGATCGCCTAACGCGAGGCGGCAGCGGCGTCTTGCTCGCTTGTGTTTGGCCCCCCCCCCGCGGCCCCCAAAAAGCCGCGCACCAAAGGTCGCTCTTACCCAGGGTCACTCTTACGTGTAGCCGCTCTTCGCGCCGCCGCCGGGCTTCGTGCTGCCGCCGCCCCGCTTCATCGTTTCGGCACTCGTGCAGTTCAGGGGAGTGCGCGGGCGACGCGGACCTCGCTCGCTGCTCGAAGCGGAGGCTGCTGAGAAGGGAGGGAAAAATGGACGAGGCTGAGGAGGGGGAGGAGAGGGTCGATGACGATGAGGGGTCCTCTGGCCTCTGGGCGCGCGATTACGGAGCTTCCCAGCGTGGGACATCGGGCCGAGTCGGCAAGTTTTGACCGATTGGCGGCCTGGTGGCCAGTGCCTCCTCCGAGCAGTGGCGTCCGTGCAGCCAAGACGTTGCAGTGAGGACCGCAGGGGGTTCCGGATGGGCTCTGGCCTGCGGGCCGTGCCTTAGATCTCTTCGTGAGCAGGGTGCGCCGTGGCCAGAGAAGCCCCCTTCGTTCCTTATCCTGCGTTTCTTGTGGTCGCACGAGAATTGTCCGGAGGGGAAACAGCACACAGACACAATTCATCGGCGCTTCCCGAAACATGTGGGAAAATATGGGCAGTGGGGGGGAGGACAGGAACCCAGAAAATATGGAAAATATGGGAGATGTTTTTATTTGTGTGTATTTATTTGTGTGTCCCAGTTCCCCTTCAGATTGTAGGTGCACAATTCTATTAGCGCGTCCGCTCGCGCTCTGTATTCCTCATCTCTACTGCCTCTGCCGTTACCCCTGTGCCAGGTTGCACAACCATTGGTATTGAACCAGAACAAGAGAAGGCCGATGATGAGCAGGAGAGGGAATAGGCCAACGACAGGATGAGTGGCAGTCAGAGGGAAACGAAGCCGAAGAGGAGAATGGGATTCCGAGGAGTCGGACAGGGTGCCGATTGCTGGGGGCCGCCAGGATCCTTGTCGACCGGTGGGCCGGAGGCAAAGGCGCTGGCAAGTCATCGCAGCCGTAGCGACGGAGCTTCTGGCGCGCGTCTGGGACGCCGCGTGACAGGCTGGCAGGGCCGGGCCCGTCTCTCGGCAGCCCTTCCCTGCATCAAGGGGAGGGGGTGGGGGAGCGGGGTGGGCCAGGGAGGGATGGGGGGGGGTGTGCAGCAGGGGGAGGGAGTGGGAGGAGAGGGGAGGCAGAACGGAGCGGAGGTGAGGGCAGGCAGAAGGGAGCGGGAGGGGAGGGGAGGGGAGGGAAGGCAGAAGGGGGCGACGCCCAGCGATCCCCAGCCCCCCCTCCTGCAAGCGGCACGCAGGCCCAAGCGGCAGATGCCGTGGGGGCGGGGCCCCACGGAGGCCGCGCCGGCACGGCAGCTCCGTGGTGCTGCTGCGGGTGATGATGCTGATGTTGATGACGATGATAAGAGCTCGCTGCGCCTGCCTACCAGAGGCATCAGGGGTCAACTACAGCGTGTCACAGGCCCATCAGTACGATTTAAGCCTAGGACGAGGATTGCTTTAGCCATTATCTGCGAGAGAGAGAGAGAGAGAGATGGTGATGGTGATGGTGATGGCGATGGTGATGCTGATGGTTGTGCTGGTGGTGGTGATGGCGATGCTGCTGCTGCTGCTTCTGATGATGCTGATGCTGATGCTGCTGCTGCTGGTGATGGTGGTGGTGATGATGATGCTGTTGTTGGTGGTGATGATGGTAATGATGATGGTGATACTGATGATGAGGATGATGGGAATGATGGTGAATATGATGCTGACCCTTATCATGATAATGACGACGATGCTGCTGTTGCTGACGGTGATGGTGATGCTCGTGCTGATGACCATGATCATGATGATGCTGAGGAAGAACATGACGACGATGATGATGCTGCTGCTGATGATGATGATGATGATGCTGCTGATGCTGATGCTGATGATGATGACGATGACGATGACCATGATGCTGCTGATGCTGATACGGATGGTGATGATGCTGATGCTGTGGGTGATGTTGATGTTGCATGGTGAGGATGGTGGTGGTGATGATGATACTGCTGTTGTTGTTGATGATGATGATGCTGCCGCTGATAATGATGACGCTGCGGCTGATGTCTATAGTGCTGTGGATGATGCTGTTGATGGTAATGCTGCTGATGCTGTTGTTGTTGATGATGGTGACCAACATGCTGATGCTGCTGATGATGATGATGACGAGGAGGATGATGACGATGATCACGATCATGCTGATACTGCTGCTGATGATGATGCTGCTGGTGATGATGATCATGCTGTTGATGCTGCTGATGATGATGATGATGATGATGAACATGATGATGTTGCGGATGATGATTCTGACGATGAAAATGCTGATGGTGATGCTGATGACGACAATGATGATGATGATGGTGACGATGATGATGAGGAGGAGGGGGAGGACAAGGAGGAGGAGGAGGAGGAGGAGGAGGAGGAGGAAGCGGAGAAGAGGATTATGAGGAGGAGGGGGAGGAGGAGGAGGAGGAGGAGGAGGAGGAGGAGGAGGAGGAAGGGGAGGAGGAGAAGGGAGGAGGAGGTGGAGGAGGAGGAGGAGGAGGAGGAGGAGGAGGAGGAGGAGGGGGAGGAGGAGGGGAAGGTGAGGAGGAGGAGGGCAGGAGGAGGAGGGGAGGAGGAGGCAGGAGGGGGAGGAGGAGGGGACGGGGGGGGGGGGAGGGGGAGGGGGAGGGGGAGGGGGAGGGAGGAGGGAGGAGGAGAAGGGAGGGGGGGAGGAGGGAGGAGGAGGAGGAGGAGGAGGACGAGGAGGAGGAGAGAAGAAGAGGAGGAGGAGGAGGAGGAGGAGGAGGAGGAGGAGGCGGAGGAGGAGGAGGAGGAGGAGGAGGTGGAGGAGGAGGAGTCGGAGGAGGAGGGGGAGGACGAGGAGCAGGAGGCGGGGAGCGGGTTTCAGAAAGCCGAGGGGCTCGGCATGAGATCCACGGAGAGGCTGGGCCTTGGGGGCTCGACCGAGCAGACGGCCTGGCCTGTTTGTTGTTTCCATGGCCAGTCCCCAGATGGCCCCCCCGATGTCGCCACGGCTTCAGCTCGGAGAGCTGGGGGGAATAGATCCCAGGAGTGGTCGGGGGGGGGGCGGGTCGGAGTGGCGTTGGGCCACAGTGAGAAAAGGGAGCATCGTTAGACCTACAGTGGAGACCCATGCCAAGAAACACCCTGCTTGTCTTTTGGGTTTTTATTGTTTTGCTATGGAAAGAGCGACGTTCCCACACCAACAGTCCATTGACGTCCTGGGGTCTCAGGGTTGGGTTTCTTGTGGATGGCTTCTTGTGGCCTGGCCTCCACTGTATTGCTCGTTTCTGCTGTAAGAGGAGGAGGAGGCGAGGAGGAGGAGGAGGCGAGATTCTGTCAGAACGAACCCCGGGCGAGGTCTGGGGAATCGATACCTTTTTGCTTCCTGAGGAGGGAGGAGGAGGATGGGGAGAAGGAGGAGGAGGAGGAGGAGGAGGCGGAGGAGGAGGATGGAAGGATGCTGAAGGAGCGAGCTCTCATTCCAGGAGCTGCCGTGTGCAGTCTTGGGCTGGGCGTGGCGGGCGTGCGGTGCCCGGGGGTGTGGCCGTCGCTGGCCGGGTTGTCCGCCACGGGTCCCCGGGGGCGCGGTCGCCGCCTCCGTCCGTCCCCACGATTGTTTCAACAGTTCGGGGGTGGACAGAACCCCCAACAGTGACACGTCGATTCGTGAATTGTCCGTTTTCGGTTCTCGAGAGGCCGCCGCGGCCGTTATTTTCCAGGCTTGCGCCCGCCAGGTTTGGGCCTCAGGTTGTTTTCGCTAAACAACGCTTTACTAAAGGGAGGTCTGTCCATCCCCGAAACAGTGTACGAGTGAACGGCAGCTTCGCGTCCTCCTGAAGCGTGCGAGACCAAGGGAGGACTCGGAGCAACTGCCGAGAGGACGCTGCAGCACGGACTGCCCGATGCCTTTTTAAACGTTTTGCGGCGAGGCTGCGGGCGCCAGACCTGTTGCGGTTTGAAGCTTGACGCCAACGCGTGTGCGAGGGTTGCAGCCATCCTCTCGGTCCTGTGTAAACATGCGCTCCTTCCCGTCTGCACTATGGTCGATCGCATAGACGAGCCTTCTCTCTCTCTCTCTTTCTCGCGGTCTCCTTCTCCGTGGCATTCGCCTCTTCCTTCTCGTCCTCATCTTCCTCAATCGCGTCCTTCTCGTCGTCGTCGGCGTTGTCTCTTCTCCTGCCCGTGCTCCTCCTCGTTCGTCTCCTGACCCTTCTGCTTCTCGACTTCTCCAACCTCACCTTTCTCGTCCACATCCTCATCTTCAGATTCCTCGCTCATCTTCCTCCTGTCACTGCTTCTCCTCCCTTCTGCACCTCCTCCCTTCTCCTCCCCCCTCCTTCCTCCTCATCCTCCCAACTGTCATCGCCCTTCCCTCCTCTCCTCGTTCTCGTGCTCATCCTCCTCGTCGATCCTTCGACGCCGTCCTACGACACACTTGAAAGCGAACATGTTAGTGTCTACCAACGCTTGGAACTTCTGCGAACAGGCTTCGATCAGAACACCTGAGAACTCACAATGCAGGGCCCAGAAATCAAGGAGTGAACTGTGACAGCTCCACAGCGCACCAGCTCCCTCGGGACAGAAATACGATGCTTCCGAAGAACAGCTCAGCACTCTCGGACCCTGGGTTCCTGCTGGACGGCACTCCTTGGAGAGACGACAAGACTGACGTGTGGGAAGGGCCCCCCACACCTCGCGCATTCCTGATCCTCGAAGCTCGATGTCGGCCTGTGTGGCGTTCCGGCTTTGCTTGGCGACTCCCCGATCCGCATCGCGGTCCTTTGTTCTGCGGTCTCTTGTCGCTTGGGCTCGGCCTGCGAGCGGCGCCACCATTCGCCCGACGCAACCTGGACAGCGCATGTGTCGCCGACGCTTGGTGACGCCGCGTGCGGGGCTGGCGGAGGAGGAGGAGCGGCGTCGCCCCCACATGCCAAGACTGTGTGTGCGTCGCCCCCCCCCCCCGGGGGCGACGCGCACGCCGAGAAGTCTTGCAGCAGATGCGTCGTGGCGGGCGCCTTCCGGCCGAACCGCTCGGTGAACGATGTGCTACAATTAAGTCGGGCCTGTCCCTCTACAGGGGGAATATTCAAAAACAGCCAAAAAATAGTTTGGGGACTATGCTTTGAGTATTTTTCAGGACCTATTGAACTGTTTTGGAGTATTTCTTTATTGTAGTGGCCTCCGGCCAGTGCCGCCGATCCGTGGCGCTCCTGATGCTACTGTTGTTGAGTGGACGATGACGACGACAAGGACGACCAACGGTCGACGAGCGGGATAATTACGACGACGACCGACGAAGGAGTTAGTGACGTCGAACCGACGACGACGACGACGACGACGACGACGACGACGACGACGACGACGACGACGACGACGACGACGACGACGACGACGACGACGACGACGACGACGACGACTGACGGCGAACGGCTGCCGACGGCCGACGACCGACGACTGGTGACGGCGACGGGTGGAAGGTTCTTCGTTCATCGCTTTCGCTTCCGAGCAATACCAAGTCAGGCCGTGCATCTCTGGCCTGGCAGCACGCGAGTGAGCGCCTCTTGGGTCCTCTTGATTCTTGTGGCTTCTTGGGGGCCTTTAGGGCCTCTTGGGGGCCTCTCGGGGTCCTCTTGGGGGCCTCTTGGGGACCTCTTGGGGGCCTCTGGGGGCCCCTTGAGGCATGAACTGCATATTTTTGGAGTATTATGTTTTATTTTGCGTCGAAGCTCCCCCTGTAGCGGGACAGGCCCGACCTGATGCTACAGCCTTCGTGTACCACCTGTTCGGGTCGGCGGCGCGCCTCCGAGGAGAACATGTAACACTGGTGCGTCGCTGTATGCGTCTCCTCCTCCTCCTGCTCCTCCTCCTCCTCCTCCTCCTCCTCCTCCTCCTCCTCCTCCTCCCAGGGCAGGCCTGGGACCGGCAGGCCCAGGGGGAGGGCCCCCCCCGGGACGGTGGCCGCGGCCGGCGGCGCAGCCGCCGCCGCCGCCGCCTGCTCGAGGGCCGTGCAGCGTGTGGCGCCTCCCTCCTCCTCCTCCTCCTCCTCCTGCTCCTCCTCCTCCTCCTCCTTTCCCCCTCCCCTCGGAGAAGGAAAAAGTACCCATACCGCTAGCCTCGCCCCGTTTTCGCCTTCGCTCCATGACCAAGACCGGCTTGTCACCGCACCGTGCAGCCAAGACGCTGAAAGCAGGACCGCTCTGGCCCTCGGAGGAGTGAAGAAGTACCCATTCGAAGAAGAACACATGCCATAAACATAAACTTTTGGTGCTCCGCGCGGACTCCTTGGCTCCGCGCTGGGCCATCCCCCCACCCACCAGCGGCGCCTCCGGCGCCGCCCCCGGCGCGCTCCGCGCGCCAGTGAGGTGGGTCCAGCGCGGATCCGAGAAATCCGCGCGGCGCGCCAAAAGTTTATGTTTATGGCGTTTCTTCTTCTTCTACCCATGCCGCTAGCCTTGCCCCGTTTGCGCCTTCGTTCTTCTATTTCGTGTTCCTTATGGTAGCACGATGACTGTATTGGGACCCCCAATGCAGATGCCGTTTCCGTCGGCGTCTGCGGCGCCCAGCCCAGCATCCATCCCCGCCCTGAGGGGGTAGGTTGGTGGCGCCAAGAGACCCTGGCTCACTGGGGATGTGGATGGGTCTGAAGATGCTGAAGGTCAGAGGAGGAAAAGGTACCCATACCGGTAGCCTCGCCCCGTATTCGCCTTTTGGGGCCTCTTGGGAGGCCCTCGTCGCCACCGCTGGATTCGCCCCGATTTCTGGTCAGAATGCACCCCCACAACACTGCGCAACCTCGAGGCGCGCCTGAAACGCTCCGTGGCCTCAATGGCTGCCCTGCTCTGACGAGGGATGGCCTCAGCCCACAGATCAGTATCGCGGTTGCCCATGATCATTCCTGCTGCGACACCTCTGCGTTGCTCTGGGGCGGGGTGGGCCTTGACCTTGAGAATCACAGCCGTGTCAGGTCCCATCCCGCCCCAGTCGTCAAGGTAGCCCCAGGCAAACTGGCAGAGATCCGCATGCGCCGCAGTCGGCGCGCAGCAGTCGTCGACGCCGTTCTCCTCGTCCTCCTTGTCATCCTCGTCTTCGTCGTCGTCCTTGTCCTCCTCGATCTTGTTAATTACTATCCTCTTCCTCGTCATCCTCCTTATCCTCCTTGTCGTCCTTGACCCACTCGTTGCTTCTCCTCGCCATCGCACCCTTCCTTATAATTGCCGATGCCTCCCCCACCTCCTTCGCCAACATGTCAAGGCCACGTCCTGGAGAACAATGCAGTGCCCCCGCCCTTGTTGCGATGGTCCGTAGGCCCCGAGGGGTGGCGTCGCTCGCAACAGGGCGGCTGCCGCCCTGCGGGGCGCAAACGACCCACGGCTTCTTCACGGCAGCTCGTCCCATCGACCTTTTCTTCATGATTCTCCCCCCTTTGCCGCCTCTTCCTCCTGCCTTTTCCCTCCGTTCTCTTGCTTTCCCCCTTCTCCTCGTCCTCCCCCTCGCCTGCACCTCCCTCAGCCCTGGCTCCTCCCCCGTCCCTCCTCGCCGGCTCGCGAAGCCTTGGGCGGGCGACCCGACAGGCCAGATGCTGTCCCCAGGGACTGCTCGAAAAGACTTCCAAGGTCCTTTGCCCGTCGGCACGGGCTCCAGGCTCTCCTCGGCCGTTCTGGCCCAGCCCCAGCGCTCCGCCGGGCAGCGCAGCACGGCGGGATGCTCGTCCCTCCCGAAGAGGAAAAGACGCTATGAACATCAACTCTTGGCGCTCCGCGCGGATTTCTTGGATCCGCGCTGGACCCCCCTCCCCGGCGCGCGGAGCGCGCCCGGGGCGGCGCCGGAGGCGCCGCCGCCGGGGAGGCCCAGCGTGGAGCCAAGAAATCCGCGCGGCGCGCCAGTAGTGTATGCTGCTGCTTATGGCGTTTTTTCTTCTTTTGACCCTCGGCCCACGCCGCCGCCGCCGCAGGCGGCCCTGCCGCCGGCGGTGCCGCGGAGCCGCCGCGCGCTCTGCCCGCCACGCCCTGCGGCGCCGCCCCGCGGCCAGCGCGGCACCACGTGCGCTCCGCCGCGCGGCGCGTGCGCGGCCGGCGCCGGGGCGGTCGCGGTGGCCGCGTCGGCCGCGGCCGGCCGTGGCTGCGCGCGGCGCGGCGGGCGGCTGGAGCTCAGGGGAGGACAAACTGCCAGGTCCTCCTCCTCCTCCTCCTCCTCCTCCTTCACTCACAGCACGGTCCCTCCTCCTCCTTCTCCTCCTCCTCCTTTTTTTTTCCTCCTCCTCCTCCTCCTCCTCCTCCTCCTCCTCCTCCTTTGTCCGTTTTCTGCCAAATCCGTCGAACTCCTCCCCCGACCGGAGCTCGCGTCGTTAAGAATTCGGTACGGGAGGTTTTGGCAGTTTTCGGCCTCCGGGGGCCCTCGCTGGGCCTCGGCACCGTCCAGAGACGGCCGTGAGGAAGCGCTGGCCCTCTCGAGAGGTGGAGCTCCGGGTGCCACTGGGAAGGCGTACCAAACACGGCTCCCCGTCCTGGGGAGCCCTCGTCGCCACGCCTGGGTTTCCCCAGCAAGTCTGGCCAGACTGCAAGAGGTCCGTGAAGTTGCGGTGTCACCACCTCCTTGCGTTAAGCAGGGCCTGTCCCTCTACACGGGGACTATCCCAAAGCAGTCAACATATCGTCTGGGGACTATTTTCTTGGAGTATGTTTCAGCATCCTTTTGAGCATGTTTGGAGTTGTTCTTTATTTTTCGCCAAGAATCCCCCTGTAGGGGGACAGGCCCGACCTGATCCTCCTTGGCCCCCCCCAGGAGCGGCGGGCCCGGCGCGTGGTGGCCGTGGCCCTGCGGCAGGGGCGGGGCGCCGCCGCGGCCGCGGCGGCGGCGCCGCCAGCGGGCGAGGACCTCTACGAGGCCTGCCGCCGGGGGGACGCGAGGGCCGCGCGGCGGCTGCTCGAGGGGCGCGGCGCCGGGGCGAGGGCCGCCATGAGGGGAACAAGGAGTGGCATAAGCACAAAAACTCGGAGGTCCGCGCGGATTCCTCGGATCGGCGC